TTCTGAAAATTTGGAATCTTGTTAAATTTGGCACGTCCAATTTATTGCAATAAAAATTTATGGGGAATTCTATTCAAAATAATAAAAAGACTACGTTTACCGCAGCGATAGAATTCTGAAAGTTTGGAATCATCAAGTTTGGCACGTCCAATTCATTGCAATGCATGCTATTTATAATAAACAAAAAGACTACGTGTAGCGCAAAACTGGGAAATCTAGCAACATTGCCAATAGCACTGTCGAATTTCGCATGTCCAAAAACTGTCAGATTCCGAATTGTGTGAACGCGGCTTAAGTAGTTTTGAAGATATTTAAGTGTTGCAGTACTTTTTACTAACCCTGTATATGAGAAATGTGTGCACCGTATGACGTTTGTCATGGTAAAAAATGATGTATGTTTGAGTTGCGTTTTTTCATTTATATGTTTCTATATTTTTTTAGTGTTCAGTTTATGTTAATTATACGTTTATTTTTTCATAAAAAAAAATATATTTTAATTTGTTTTGTTAAAATTTTTGGTTTTTGCAACCATTTTTCAAGAACCTGCTATTGAACGCCTATAAAAACATGTGTAAGGTACCTCTCCCAAATAAAGCCACGTTAAGAGGTTTTATTTTTTCCTAACATTATCCACCAAACCCAGCAAAAATCAAGAGCTTATAATTATGTGAAGTTTTTGCTTCTATTACTTGAATATTAACTCCAATTTATTTATTTTTCTATATAAGTGGTGGTTTTTGCGTAAAACAAAGACGCTTATCATTGGCCTTATTTGGATCACTATGCTCCTAATAAAGCCACCATTAAAAAATGTTTAAAATAAATACAATTATTTATAAAAATATTATTATTTGAGAAATAGTACACAAAACAGAACTTATATGTTTGCTGCATTCCTAAAAAACAATAATTCCAAGTCCTGGGATGGTGATCCAAATAGGTCTACATATAACTAGGACAAATGAACTGCAGCATTTCTTGCTTGGAGAGACTCCAGACATTTCAAAAAACATCATTTAGGTAATAATATGACACATTCTTTAAAAAAAACTCTGTGATGTGAGGTCAATTGAACATTTTTCGTATTATGGCCTTATTAGGAACATGTTAAATTGATAAAAAAAAGTCTGTAACTAGAAATCTAGCAAAGATATTATTTTATACTTACTCTGTAGCTTTATCAATACATAAATGTCCGTTAGAAAATTACAATCGGTCCATTCACTTTATAAACACGTATATAAGAAAGCTAATTGAGTTCCAGCCTCAAAGTTATAACGTGACATATGAAATATGTGGTTGGGTATTTTTGGACATATGACGAGTTGCTAGGAACCCTCGCAATAATTTTTTATTTGCATAATAGATTTCTTTTTCAATAGTATTGTAATTTTTGAAAATGGGATTCAATATTACGCAATAAAGGGCACTGGCCTTATTAGGTACATGGCCTTATTTGGGTCAGGTACCTTATATGTTTTAATTTCCCTATAATAAAATTTAGGTAGAATATGTGTGTAAATGTGTTTTATGCATTTCAACTAACATAAATAATCATGAATTAGAGATAGTTTTACCCCAGGGAAATTAGACCAAAAAAAAGGCCTTCTGCGGAATGAGCCGAACAAGCTGAATTTTTGCAGAGACCTTCGTTTTGATGTTCTAATGGAGCACAAGAAAATCGAATATGCCTACCCTTGTGCGTCTTGAGATATCGAAGGTCAAAGGTCACGAAAATCGATAATCTCGCTTCCAGTGCATCTGACGTCAAAGAACCCAAAACAAAACTTACGTAAAATAGTATTTTCTACAAAATTATTCCTATACATTTTTTTGTACGACCAACCGTTTTCGAAATATAGCGTGATAAAGCGGAAGCGCACATTCAAAATAGGTGATACTGTATTATACAGGGTGTTAGAGATTAAAGTGTGGTAACGTTACCGCGGTAACGGTAATTTTGGTAATTTAACCCGACAAATTTCTTTACCGGTAATTTTCAGAAAGGCTTCCTGAATGAAATCACATTAAGGCGCAATCCTTTTCATGCATTATTCGCCATCTAGTTGTGAATCTGTATAACGCGCATTGCGCCGGATTGGCATGAACAAATAGTTATTTACCTTACAAGTGTGGAAAGTGGTTCTTTTCCGCCCGCGACGGCAGTTGGCAAGCTGTCAAGGGTGGAAATAGTTATTTTCCTAATAAGTGCGCGAAGTGTTACTTTTCCGCACGCAAACACAGTTATACGAACGACACGAAGCGGAGTTCAGATAAGTGTTTGCGTGCGGAAAAGACACTTTGCGCACGTGTTAGGAACAAAATTTTTTCTTCGAGCTTCATATCAGGTAGGTAACAACAAAAATTTAAAAAAAAAAACGATAATTTGTTCAATTATTTTCAATTAACTTGAAGCGAACCTATTCTTTCATCAAAAAATTACATAACAAAAAAACAGAAAATTGAAATCCTCGTCAGAGCTGTTCATCTTAAAGCGTTTAAATTTGATGCGAAAGAAGTTTGTAGATTCTTGCATGTAGATGGAGAACACAAATCTGACAATGTGTCAAAGTTAATTATATTCAGTGTTTGTATAGATGTTGGCTGATATAGAAACAGAGGGAAAATTTGTCATCATGTGTCGAAGTTGACAGGTGCACTTATTGTTGCTTGACAATTATTTTTACTTTTCGGCACTCAGTGCGGATAAGGCCCGTATCCGCACTGAGTGCGGAAAAGTGTAACTTTGAGAACGGTAATGCGTGCGGAAAAGTACTACTTTGCGCACGCTCGTAGGAAATAGTTATTTTCCTAACAAGTGCGCAAAGTGTTACTTTTCCGCACGCAAACACAGTTATACGAACGACGCGAAGCGGAGTTCGGATACGTGTTTGCGTGCGGAAAAGACACTTTGCGCACGTGTTAGGAACAAAATTTTTCCTACGAGCTTCATATCAGGTAGGTAATAACAAAAATTTAAAAAAAAAAAACGATAATTTGTTTAATTATTTTTAATTAACTTGAAGGGAACCTATGCATTTATCAAAAAATTACATAACAGAAACAAATAACAGAAAATCCTCGTCAGAGCTGTTCATCTTAAAGCGTTTAAATTTGATGAGAAAGTTTGTAGATTTTTGCATATAAATAGAAAACAAATCTGATGTGTCAAAGTTAATTTATAATTGGTGTTTGTATAGATGTTGGCTGATATAGAAATAGAGGAAAAATTTGTCATCATGTGTCAAAGTCGACAGGTGCACTTATTGTTGCTTGACAATTATAATTACTTTTCGGCACTCAGTGCGGATAAGGCCTGTATCCGCACTGAGTGCGGAAAAGTGTAACTTTGAGAACGGTAATGCGTGCGGAAAAGTACTACTTTGCGCACGCTCGTAGGAAAAGACATTTTCCACAAGAGTTAGGTGTAATGTTTTTCCACAAGTGTTTTTGTCCATTTCATTAGGAAATTAGGAGAATTTAGTTCTGTTTTATTTTTGTTTGATTTTCTTTGCTCATTTTGTTTTGTAGGCTGTTCAAATTTCCAGGGATTATTGATGTAAGTATGATATTTAAAAATTCGTATGATGCACCCCCATTTTCTACCTGGAACCATCCCAAAAAAAAAAAAAAGAAAATACTTAAAATTAGAAAAAAAGCAATTTTTTTCTTTTTTTTTGGGATAGTTCTAGGTAGAAAATGCATTATACGAATTTTTAAATATCATTTCTAAGTCAATAATTCCTGAAAATTTGAACAGCCTAGCATTAGCTCTCCAGATGATATGAGAGGGGGTTGTTTAAATTTCAACACCCTGTATTTTGGAAACGACGCACTTCTGGCCATCAGTGTCCTATCTCAAATTACTTCTCAATGGTTTCTCTATATACCCTAGCATTTCTGACCAGTTGAACGGGGACACCCTGTATAATACAGTATCACCTATTTTGAATATGCGCTTCCGCTTTATCACGCTATATTTTGGTCGTATAAAAAAATGTATATGAACAATTTTGTAGTAAATACTATTTAACGCAAGTTTTGTTCTGAGTTCTTCGACGTCAGATGCACTGGAAGCGAGATTTTCGGAAAAAACGATTTTCGTGACCTTTGATATCTCAAGACGCACAAGGGTAGGCATATTCGATTTTTTTGAGCTTCATTAGAACATCGAAACGAAGGTCTCTAAAAAAATTCAGCTTGTTCGGCCTCATTCCGCAGAGGAAGTTAATTTCCCTGGGGTATTTCATATTTTTTTGAAAATAAAACTTAGCAGGAGCCAAATAAATTGGACTACCATTGTACTCCACGCGCCTAACCGCGTGAGTAGAATCCACGCGCCTAATGGGGGGTTAATATAGGAATTGCCTTATTTACTGTTAGAAACTTGTGGCAATAAATACCAGACCTTAATATTGATTTCATGTGCCTTCTTTTGGAGTTTTCTGGAGGATTTACAGGAGTTATGATTCGACCCCTGATCTCCACTGTAACAAGCTACCTGGTACACGTGGGCCCTCAAACACAATAAACCTGAGGGTGGCGCTCGAGATATCCGTTGAAGTAAGAAAAGGAAAAACCGAAAGGGCGCTACATCCTGCTCAAAATGAACCCTGATTTCAACGTTTTGAAAGAGGCAGATCAGATGTGTCAATCAAATAATTGGAATTGTTGGAAAACATACGATTTCCAAAGTTCTTTTCAAGAGTACAACATTTTCAAAACTTCCAGACTGAAAACTTTACACAGGGCAATCTTTTAGGCAAACATCTACCCTTCTTGCAAATGCTTCATGTGTAGATATTTTAAATCTAAAGCGACACGGGGGATGGAAATATCCTTCATAGTTTCCAAAGGCTTAAAATTATGATTTACTCAATACCGAGGCAATCTTCACTTGTTGAAATAAAGTCTTAGTTGAAAACAGAATATGGAGAATTCTTCTATTCACATCCACTTATTTGGATTACACCTTAACATTGAAATAAAAAAAGGATTTTTTCAAGAATTTTAGTTTTTTCTACTGACGACGTAAGCTTTATTTAAGTACCAAAGACGTTTTACTTACATTTAATAAACTTTCCAAGGTGAATTATCTATTATCTAACTTATACAATAGTAGATAAGTGCGTGAAAAACAAAGTTTTATATCGTAACTGAAATAAATCATACTTCGCCAGTGAAAACTCGCCTTTATTAAAAAACTAAATAAACAATTTCTCGAGTAAGTATAAACACTAAAAACTATTCTAGGTGATTATAATCTAGAAAAAAATAAATGTGTTAAGCCGCGTCCTCACCGATCTAATATTTGCCCATCAGCAGCAGTATGAATGAGATCTAAAATGCCGGTTGCTTTTTCGTTCCCTCAATTTAGTTGTTTAAGTTAAGTAACCATTTAAATGCATGAAAGCCAGCGCATGTTCCTTTCAAATCCTCCAACACTGGAGCGAGGAGCTCTAGTGTTGAAAGGAATAACACCAGTAATGAATACATATTATTATATCAGCTAAGAACATAAAACCAAGAAATTTTGAGGATTGGACACAACAATAATAGTCCTGCTAAATACTAGCTGTTAGTCTTTGCTATTAAAAAGCGCTCCAAGATCCATTAAAAATTATTGTAACCAGACTCAAACCCGGAACAGAAATTATTTGCGAGCTACCGGTGCAATTTATCCGTGAATTCACACTGAATTATAGCTGAATATACCAACAGATGAATATATTATTACAGCACGAATACTTGCCGCCGTCAGCTATTAAATTTTTCCGGTAAGGAAGCAGCTTAATAAAATAAACATAATTTCTAATACAACAGGATAATACCAAACCAGATTTACAAACAAAAGAGTGCGGCCTCAGCTTCAACTAAACAACAAAAAAAATATCTTCTATCAATACAAAAACTTGAACTTCTAGTGTGAAGCTGGAGACTTCAGCAATGACACACTCAATGTGTGATGTCTCGGTATGCCGAGATATGCCTGGAAAGTGTCTTGTATCCATTAGCGATTTCGGATTTCTTTATTTCACTGAAATCAACAATCCAGAATTACAAAGTCACTATTTTAATACCCACAAAAATGCCATTTTTGAATGTACACCTCTAAAGTAAGAAAACGTAAAAAAGTTATATAGGTCAGGGGTTATATAAGACAAAATAGTTATTTTCCTAACAAGTGCGCAAACTGATACTTCCCCCCATATTAAGGGCGGGAAAGAGACTTTGCGCACGTGTGGAACATTTTTTTTCCTACGAGCTAAGATAAAAAAAAATTAAAAAACTACAAAAGCTATTTTGAGGTTTGTATAAATTCTTGCTGACAAATAAACGGAGGAAAGATCGGCATCATGTGTTAAAATCGACAGGTTCTTCCAAATTAGTTTAACTTTTCCGCAATCAGTGCAGAAAAAAAGCACAGCAAATGGAAAAGTGTAACTTTGCGCACGCTCGTAGGAGAAAAATATTTTAAATTATGTCATATGAAAAAATATTGCTATACAAGTGCGAAGAAGAAAAGTGGAAAAATGGTCGTGGGTACAACATGTATAAATAATATAACATAAAATATTTGTAAACCATGCCAAAGGCGAGGATTACATTCACCTAAAAGCTACAAACTATGTAAAATAGAATATTAAGAGAAAAAAAATTGATAAAATACAACATACAAATTAAATGCAAAGAGTCATCATCATTAAAATAAAAAAACGCGGAAAATTCAAAATAACACAATAAAACTTGAACACAACCACACAATGCCCTCATGCGAAAAATCTGTCATTTTGAAAGATAAACTTGTCTTTTTCAAACTCCTGGCATAATGATAACAAATACTTGTTTCATGCCTCTTTATTCACTACATATAAAAAAAAAATGGTTGTTCACTTTTTTTTCTCACACATATGTATAATAATATTTTTTCCAAATGGCAAATGGAAGATAATTACTTTTTTCCAACACTGAAATTGTCTAACAGTAGTCAAAGCAAAATATGTCTTGCCTTAATAATTATACCCTTGTTGGCTAGGCAACCGAATGGTTCTAATGTACAATATTTACAAAAAGAATCGAACTTAAAAATTCACTTCTTCACAGCATCAGAACTGTTGCTTTTCGATTTTCCAAAAATTTGTAGATCTAAATGAAAAAAATTTCTGAGACAGTTCGAATTGATGTTCTGGGGCAAAATTCCCAAAAACATTTAAATTTTTTATTCAAATGCAACATTTCAAGCGTCTAAAATACTTCTTAGTTTTTCAATTGAATTAATAGTTGAAGCGATAACATCATTGGCTGAATCACTTTGGCAGGATAGATCAACTCTTGGACTCTCGAAATCTGCCACAACTTCATCGGAACCGTTAGTTGTTAATTTGGCACAATTTTCGTCAATTATTATTGAATCTTTTTTGGAGGATTCTGCTGAAGTCACATTATTCGATATATCATTAGCTTCTCCTAATAGATCATTTGAACTGCTTACTGATCCAAGACACATATCAGTGAATTTTTTCATGTCAAACAAATCAATAGTTGGAGATGATTCAACATTGTCTGCCAACTCAGAAACGTTTTCTGTCAACAGTTCATTGGATTCCTTTGTTGTTTCACAAGGAGTGTTTTCTTTTAGTGGTGGGTTCAAACTAGTTACTAACTCATCATCCATCGCAGGAAATCCATCCAAACTATCGAAAATTTGTCCTTCTTTATCATTTGCATTTGATTTATTAGTTAATTCAAGAAGCTGTTCTGGAGACTTTACTGTTTCCAGATTTTCAGAACCAACTTCCTGTAAAAATTTATTTAAACTTGATTCAGCAACATTTTCAGATGATTCTTCAAATTCCATATTATTTTCAATAACTTTTTCTGTTAAAAGTTCTTGTGAACCCAATTCAGCAACATCTGACGAAGTTTTCAATAATTCCATATTTTCAGTAACTTGTTCCTTTAGTATTTCATTTGAACTTTTTGTAGATTCTTCTGTACATTTCTCCGATTCCAGATTCTTTGAATCAGCATCAGCTCCAGATTCTAAATTATTTTTTAGTTGTTCATGTGAACTATTTGTAAAAGCATCTGATTCCTGATTTTTTGAATCAACATTGTCATCCAACAGTTCAGATCCTTCTAATTCAACATGTTCAGCATCTTTTTCCTTTAGCAGTTCATTTGAAACTAATAAATCATCGGCGATCTTTGTAGAAAATTCTTCTAATCTTGTATTCCCAGTGACTTGTTCCATCAGTATTTCATTTGTAAGTTTTTCCGAACATTCCTCTGATTCCAAATTCATTGAATCAACCAACAGATCGTTGGAACATAATTCAGTAGTCTTTGCAGTAGATTCTTCTGTTTCTAAATTATCAATCACGTTTTGCTTTAACAGTTCATCTGAAATATGCAAAGATTCAGAAGACATTCCAGATTCGGATGAATTTTCCTCCAGGGCCAGTAATGCTTGCAAAACACTAGCCGAATCAGCAGAAGTATCCGATTCTTCTAATTCGAAGTTCTCTTTCTCTGTTAACAGTTCATGGAAATTATTTGCCGATTCAATCATCTTTTCTGAAGATTTCTCTGGATCAAGTTTTTCGCAATCAATTTTATCCTTCAGGGGTTCATTCAAGATAGATTCAGAAGTATTTGTAGAAGTTTTTTCTAATTCCATTTCAGAATCTTTTTCTTTCAATAATTCACTTGCACTTGTTGTTGATTCAACTATCTTTTCTGATTCCTTTTCCCTTGATCCAAAATTATCAGAAAGTCTTTCGTACAACAATCCATTGGAGCCAGATGCAGTACATATTTCAGTTTCTAAATTATCGAGATTCTTGTGGTTCTCCAACGGTTTAATGAAACTTCTTGAGTGTTCCTCACATTTTTCTTCAGAGTTACTAGAAACGTTTTCTTTTAACAAATCATCCGCACCATTTATTACCTCAGTACACTTTTCTGAAATGTTTCTCAGCCCCAGAAGAGCATCAGAATGTTCATCAACTTTGTCATTTGAAGTACTTGGTAAATCAACAGTATTTTCTTTAGTTTCCGCCATTTTATTTGAACTTGTATCCTCAATTATTATAGATTCCACTACTATATGATTTTCTTTATCTGAAGTTTCTGATTCTAAATTCAACGATTTAGAATTTTTATCCTGCTCATTTTCAACACGGTCAGAATGTTCTCTTTCTGTATCCGATTCTTTTATAGCATTTTCAATAGTGCCTCTTGCTGTTGAATCAACTGTAGCATTTGGCAGTATCTCAGCAAAATTACTCGCTGTTGCAGTAGGTAGATAATTATCAACGATAGTGCAATCGTCATCATCAGAGATTAATAATGCTTCTTCGTCTGAAACATCCACAGTAACAATTTCCTTATCAATGATCACACAATCGTCTTTATCATCTTCGGGTTTTGGAACTTCACTTTTCTTATTTTTCTTCGGAACTGTAGATTTTCTTTTACGCTTTCGAGTTTTTGGTTTCGATGCTTCATCTTGTACTTCTGCACACTCGTCTTCTTGATTCTGCTCCAGAAAACTCGATTCACAAAGCATTTCACTTAGACTTGGATATTCAAAACTGCAACGTTCATCTAAATTTACAACAAAATTTGGATCCGTTATTAACTCGTTGGGTCTGGGTAAACTTAGAACGATTCGGCCGTTCTTGTCTGTCACTAAAGTGCCACGATTGGCACCAGTTTCCTCATTGGATAAAGCGCTACGATTAACAAACGAATCTAATGTAATATGACCATTATCGTCGGCTGTCAAATTGTCATGACTATCATGAGCCATGCCTGAAAAAAAAAGTTACAAGTAATAGGCCGGCTTCTTAAGCCATCACAACAAGCAATATCAATTGATCTAAAATTGCTTTTAACCATTGACTTATAGTCTATAGGGATATGACATGCTTTCCATATGTTTCTTAAATTCTGAGTTTCAAGCCATTTTACGTTGTACTAGTGTTTTTATTTTGTAAAGTTCCTATAGGATACAAGGGATAAAGGATTTCCTGCATTTGGCACAGCACATCCAAATTATGGGACAAAATGGAAAATTAAAATCAAATTACCCAGAATGGCAGAGGAATTGGTGATAGTAAAGTGGTGTGGCACATATCAAACATTCGATTTTGACCTGTGGGACAAAAAAACTACCAACTAACTACCTTTAGAAAATACAGCCAAAGACTAGAAAGTATAAAGCTGAAAAATTCTGATAATTTGAGACTACTAAAACTGTAGAATTTCTTTCAAATAATGAGCAAAACAATTTTGTTAAAATGGCTATACATTTTTGAGGCTTTCGTCTCGGCTCTTTCAAAAATAATAAATGCATTGCCATTATGCAACTCATTTGCAAAGTAACATGTAACATTAAAATATTTTTCTTTGAAAATTCATAAATAATAAGCCTAGCAAATAGATAAGATCGCCTTACCTCTGAGAGCATAGCTGACTCACAGTTCATTAGCCTTATCGAGTTTTGTTCGCTAGTTAAGTGTAGTGAATATAGTTTATGTTGTTACATATTTATATTTTCTTAATAAATCTTGTTTTCCTGTAAAATTGCAAGGTTTTTATGGAAAAAGAAAAATTTCCATTTTACTGTTGTTGATGGCGCATTTTATGTACAGGGTGAGTCAACATATTTTGACACCCACCTGCAGCCGTAATTACAGGTGATAGATAAAAGGTGTAAATACAAAAGTTGTAGCATTTCATCTGAACCGCCAGAATTTTTACTTAGATTGAATAAATGAGCAACGCAAAGTAAAAAAAATATAGTGATGTTCACTTTTTTCAAATGGAATGCCCTCTATTTTCTTCCAAATTCTTGAAGTTCTCGTTTTTCTGATTCAGATTATGTGTAAATGTTTTTTTCAATAGTTTTGGAAATATCTGAAGTTTAGTTATTCAAAGAAAATAGTTCTTTGAATAAATCCTACTTTGAGTACGGCGTCAATAACAGTTTGGCGTTCAGTGTAGTGAAGGTCGCTCTTCACTAATAGCCCGTTTTATAACTATAAATCGAGTGCGGGATAATGAAATTTACCTTCTTTAAATGCGCAAAAATGTGAACTTTTCAATCGCGCAATCCAAATCAAAACATTTTGAGAAATACGCGAGAAAATATGGAAAAACCAACAAACAATAGACAGTGCAGTTTTTTTGTCGTTTAATTTATAAGTGTGACAAAAAAAACTAAAATGTCTCAAAAAGTAGTAGCAAGTGGTGCCTGCAATAAATGTCTACAAAATTGCATCTTTAAAGCGGCAGCAGAAAAAAAGGATGGAAGTGAGGAACAATTTGGATACCTATGCGATGGCTGTAAAACAGTGCTATGTCGAAGATGCGAAAAATGGGGAACCACAGAAGTTCGATTCATCCAAAGTGTTTCTAGAAAAATTCCCTTCTTTTGTAAAGATTTTGCAAAAGAAAGGGACGGTGCCACGATGAAACAACTGCAGGGGTTAACGATTGAAAACAATAACCTGAAATTGGAGCTTGAAAGAATGGAAACGGTTCTTAGTGACCAACGAAAAGAAAACAATGATTTGATGGAGGAAAACCAGAATCTAATCCGTGAAGGACGCAACATGGAGGATTGCATAAAAAGAATGAAAAGAACGACGATAGACTTTGAGTTTTAGCATCTGAGGAATACCATGCAAAGGAATTGCAAACACAAAAAACTGAAATAATATAAGCAGGGAGAATACAAAACTGAGAAAAGAAATATCTGATTTGGTTAACAGCATGGAGGAATACAAAGAGAAAATTAAAAAATTAGAAGCGGACCTGGAGACCTTTATCTCAACAAAGGTGCTATCTACAATAAATACACTCACTGAGGAGAACCAAGCCTATATGAATGACTACAAAAGATCTCAGCAGGAACCACTCTTTGAACTTAGAAATGGTCTGTTTCACAAGCCAAAAGTTACAAGTAAAATTATGCAGTCTGACTTAACCTATGCAGAAGGTAACTCCGAGCAAAATGATGTCAGGTCATCAAATATTTCAGTAGGGAAACAACAAGGAAATAATCAACAAGATGAACAGAAGCAGCAACATCGACATCAAACGCGTTAGAAACTTTTCAAAAAACTCTCCAAAAAAATAAAGATATAAGGTGGGTTCTAACAGACATTTAATTTAATTTAGTATTTAATATAATTTAATTTAAAAAGTTTACTATACATTACCATATGACGACGTTCATACAAAATTTTAATTTAAGACATAATATAACTTAATTTAAAAGTTGGCCAACTTTTATCTTTCAAAATTAAATTAAATTAAATTTGAGGTTGATCATTGGATTTTCATCAGTTTGACAAGGCAGATGACGGATAATGACATTTTTCTATATCAGTTAAAAAATTACTGTATGAACGCCACAAAATAAAATGATATTAAATCATAAATTATGTTAATATAAAATTAAATTAAATTTCTGTTAGAACCCAGCTATAAATATAAATCCAAGAGAACTTAATCAATTTTGCTGTAGTATTGCTGAAAGACTCTCGAATGGCTTGGAAACTTGCAACGATCCATTAAATTATCTTGTTCCGTGTAAACCGTCTGAAATTTTCAAGCTAACACCTACAAACAAAGATGAATTGGAATTAGTAATTAAAAACATAAAGAATCAAAACTCATCTAGCATAGATGACATATCAGTGAAAATCTTTAAAAATATGATAATGCCTTAATAAGTCTTGCCAGTAGCATTAATAAATCCTTTGAAACAGGAAACTTTCCGGACTGCCTAAAATTAGCGGTAATGCTTCCCATCTTCAAGGGGGGTAATGAAGATGATCCATCTTCTTAGCGACCCATTTCCTTGTCGACAACGCTATCAAAAATTATAGAGAAGATAGTAAAAAAGAGGCTAGTTGACTATTTGAAAAATAACAACATCCTATCTCCAAACCAGTCCGGATTCCAGGAAGGCAAAGGGACAGACGATGCAATGTTTTCACTCCTTGAGAGTAGGGATATACCGGAATTCCGGCGGCACCACTTTCCGGCGGCACCACTAAATCCGGCCGATCTGGCCTATATCCCGTAACTACCGTTCCGGCCGGATCGTAACCGCGATCCGGCCGGAATTTTTGAAAATTTTAAAATAGGTTTAATAATAAATTTATAAGCGGAAAGCAAGAAGAATACTCAGAACTTTATTAAAATTAAAGTTGTAAACCATAACAATATTTTTTTTAAACATAAACACTCGCATAAACATTAAATTCAGGTATGGATTTCAAAAAACTTCCATACTTTTGACATTTTTAACTTAAACCGAATTTTCGCGACGAACTAATTCCATGATTCCATGATTTCCATGAGCTCAAACGCTTTCGCGAGAAACTCATGACGTCATATTAAACGTAGTTCGCCGGAAGCATGGACGCAAATTCAAGCCAGCGGTCAAACTCACGACGTCACAATTGAATTATTGATGAACAACATTCGCGAAAATTCGGTTTTAGTTGGATACACACAAACACAAAACAACTGTAACTACACTAAACTGAAAATCGTTAACGTTTTACGTGCACAAGCGTTTGAGTCAGATGTCAAATAAACTCGGGGATTCCCCAATTTGCTTGAAGGAAGCAGTCAAACTTTAGGCGCTTTCTTTTTTTCCATCGAGCTATTCTCCATTATGAGTAAGTCACCTTGATTTCCTATGTACTAGAAAGAGATAGTCTGCTCATCTGTAGGTTCGCCGGTGAAAAAAGAATGTGCCCTTTCAAATTATCATTAAATTACAGAAAACTATCGATCCGGCCGGAATTCCGGCGGTCCGGTCCGGCTAGCAGCCGGAATCCCCGTTCCGGCCGGATCGGCCAAATACCCGATCCGGTACATCCCTACTTGAGAGTCTTTTTTTCGGTTTAAACGATGGTGAGAAGGCTGCGGTGGTGTTTTGTGACCTTTCAAAAGCATTCGATTGCGTAAGTCACGGAATACTACTGCGGAAACTAAGCCATTATGGTATCCGAGGGCGGGAGCTTGCCTGGTTTGGATCGTATTTGTCTGGGAGAAAACAATTTGTAAGAATGTCAAACAGGGAGGACTCTATCTCGCGGTGTGCCTCAAGGGTCTGTACTCGGCCCGGTTCTCTTCCTGCTCTACATTAATGATCTTGCTCTTTTGTCAATACTTGGTGTCGTCGTAATTTTCGCCGACGCCGACGATACGACTATTCTATGGAAGCACAAGGAGGCAGCAGTTTTGTCTAATATCATAGAAAAAGATCTAGTTTTAATAAAGGAATGGTGTGGCGCAAACTATTCATAAGTATTTAATGTATAATAATAATTATCACAAGGCTGTTATTTGGTAAAAAGAATATTACACGAGTTGGGCAAAGATACAGCTAAAGTAGCTTATTATGCTTTGATAGAATCTCATATCAGATATGGAATACACTTCTGGGGATTCTCAACCCGAGCCTCTGTTCAATCAGTGTTTATTTTACAAAAAAGAGCCCTTAGAACTTTGTGCGGCTTAGTTGTCAGAAAACCTGTAGACCACTCTTTCTACGGGAAGAAATTTTAACGGTTCCATCAATTTTTATAATGGAAATAGCTTGTCTTATACATGAAAAATTCCAAGGTTTTAACAGAACTGAGTCTCATAATTGACTATGTCGAAAAAAACGGGGGTAAAAGGAACTAAGACGTTAGTGGAATTTTATTGTTTAATATGTTCAATTGGTCCCTAAAGATGATAAAACCACGGAGTGCTACCAGATATAGGGGTGCATTTTTAAGAGC